TATATATATATATATATATATATATAAAAAAAAAAAAAAAAAAAAAAAAAAAAAAACACACACACACACACATATATATATATATATATATATATATATATATATATATATATATATATATATATATATATATATATATATATATGTGTGTGTGTGTGTGTATATATTACTTCTTTTTTTTTACATAATTATTTTTTATATTATTTAATAACATTATATTAATTGAACTATTCATTTAGTTGTCTCTTATTTCTCCAGATCTGAAACAGTGGTTGAAAGGATGCTGAGTAACTGGATGTCCATCTGTCTCTATCAGTACTTGAAGGTAAAATATCCAATAATGCGCACTTTCATAATTGTTATATTGTATAAAATACAATAATCTTTTGACTAGTAGCATCGTTTTTCAGGCAGCACAACATATTTCACTTAAATTCAGATTACATTTGATGGATTATATTAGTATTTTAGTCATGAGTCATACTCATGCTCATAGTGCTCGTATTTCAGTTCCCGCAGGTTCTCACAGTTTACTCAGTGTAGTGATATGGAACTGTATGGGCTCATGACGGAACTACTTTAGCTGTGCTTTTATCTGAAAATAACCACACATCTTAGAATGTTCACCTGCCAATCAGAATCAAGCATTCAACAGCCTCATAGGATAAAAAGAAATGCACTCGTGTTTGTTCAGGACACTGCTGGAGAGCCGCTCTACAAGCTCTTCAGGGCCATAAAGCACCAGATCGAGAAGGGCCCCGTGGACGTGCAGGTGAAGAAAGCCAAATACACACTCAACGACACCGGCCTTCTGGGAGACGACGTGGAGTACAGCATTCTGGTACTGATTTTGTACATTTATATTAGTATAATTCAATATTCAGAAGCTGTGATAATACAGTTATAAACCTCCAGGATTCCACAATAGCTAAATTTAGCGTAAAATCAAGCAAATGTCACAAACTTTTGTGGAGCTTGCAATTCAGAGTTCAGATTTGTCGCAAAATTTGAGCTGTGAGGACTCTTCAAATTCCTGCCGTGCCACAGAGTGCCATCTGCATAGTTCTACATTTAAAAACATGTAAATATGTATAAATGTATGTATGTATGAATAAATGAATGGTGAAGAGGGTGTTGAATATTTGTTTGTTTCGTCTTTTGAATGCAGACGCTGCAGGTGCTGGTTCAGGGCGAGGGGCCTGACATCACCCCGGTGAACGTCTTAAACTGTGACACCATCTCTCAGGTCAAGGAGAAGATCCTGGAGCAGGTCTACAAGAACCTGCCCTACTCCCAGAGACCCAAAGTAGACAGTGTCACCCTTGGTGAGTGAGTGAGCGAGGGAGTGAATGAATGAATAAATGAATGTCTGAGTGAGTGAGTGGTTGAGAAAGGGAGTGAATGAATGAGTGCATGAGTGAATGTGAGTAAGCCAGAAAGTGAGTGAATAAATAAATGTGAGTGAGTGAATGAAAGAGTGAGTAAATGAATAGGTGAGTGAGTGAATGAATGAATGAATTAGTGAGTGAATGAATGACAGAGTGAGTGAATGAAAGAATGTGAGTGATGTATGAGTATGAGCCACATATGAGTATGTGAGTCAATGAATGAATGAATGAATGTGAGTGAGTAAATAAGTCAGTGAGTGAATGAATGAATTAGTGAGTGAATGAATGACATGGTGAGTGAATACATGAATGTGAGTGATGTATAACAGAGTGAGTGAGTGAATGAATGAATGTCTGAGTGAGCGAACGAGTGAGAAAGTGAGTAAATGAATGAATGTCTGAGTGAGTGAGTGAAAGAGTGACTGAGTGAGTGAGTGAGTGAATGAATAAATGTCTGTGCGACTGAGCGAATGAGAAAGTGAGTGAATGAATGTCTGAGTGAGTGAGTGAAAGAGTGACTGTGAGTGAGTGAGTGAGTGAGTGAGTGAGTGAATGTCTGTGCGACTGAGCGAGTGAGAAAGTGAGTGAATGAATGAATGTCTGAGTGACTAAGTGAGAAGTAAATGAGTGAATGATTGTCTGAGTCACTGATCAACTGAGTGAGTGAGCAAGGGAGAAGTAAATGACTGAGTTAATGAATGTATGAGTGACGGGGTGACTAAATGAATGTGAGTGAGTGAGAGTGAATGACTGACTAAATAGCTCATTGACTTAGTGGTGAGAGAAATGAGTTAATGACTGATTGAGTAATGAATGAATGTGAGTGAGTGAGTGAATGAATGAATGACTGAATGAATATGTGAGTGAATAAATGAATGACAGTAAATGAATGACAGTGAGTGAGTGAATGAATGTAAGTGACTGAATGACAGAGTGGGTGAGTGAATGAATAAGTGATTGAGTGAGTGAATGAATGACAGTGAGTGAATGAATGAGTAGGTGATTGAGTGAGTGAATGAATGGCAGAGTGAGTAACGAATAAGTAATTGAATGAGTGAATTTAATAATGAATATATGAGTGAGTGAATGAATGACAGAGTGAGTGAATGAATAATTGTTAGTGAGTGAGTAAATGAGTAAGTGATTGAGTGAATGAATGAATGAATGAATGAATGAGTGAGTGAGTGAGTGAGTGAGTGAGTGAACGAATGAATAATTGTGTGTGAGGTAATGAATGAGTGAGTGAGTTGGTGAGTGAGTGAGTGAGTGAATATATGTAAATGTGAGAGTGAGTGAGTGATTGAATGAGTGATTGAATGAATGAGTGATGTGATTCAGCCATTAATAACTTCCCTCAGCATGACACTGTCTCTGCCTGTATGTATTGTGGTCTCATGCACAGAATGGCGGCCCGGTTCCACAGGACAGATCCTGTCAGATCTAGATGTGACATCACAGAAGGAGGGCCGGTGGAGACGCATCAACACACTGGCACATTATAACGTGAGCACATTCCTGACGCTTATAACATTTATCATATAATTTAGAACGAAATCAAAACTCATAGTTTAAATACATTTTTATAAATGGTACAATTGTGTTGCGTCATGAGTGTTGTTTTGTGTGTGTTTTAGGTCCGGGATAATGCAACGGTGATCCTCTCCAGCGTCCAGCACACGCAACAATCATACGACCAAAATCACGACAGCCATGAAGAGAGTGAGTGCAAGTTTTGTCATGTGTGCTAAAGTGGCTCGGATGGAGACGTCACTGACACTCTTCGTTTACTTTTAGGAAATGCCCTGCTGGAGGACGATAAAGTTTTCCACCTGGTGCGACCGGCCGACGAGCTGGATGAGATCAAATCCAAGAGGGGAAGCATAAAGGACAAATCCATGACCAAAGCCATCACTGAGATATATCTCACCCGACTGCTCTCCGTCAAGGTACTGCACTCCTACAAGAACACTGGCATTTCATTTTCAGGGTATTTCAGTAAATAACACACAGTACAGCGGGACGTGATTTTATCAGGGTTGTTGGAAATTCTTGAAAATTTTAATCCTAATGTTTTTTCGGTTTGAAAAGCGCTTATGTTTTATGGGTAAAGTACTTGGAATTGTGATTTTGTTGCTTTTATAATTGTTTATCCTACTAAATAGGTCATAACAAATTAACCGATTGAATAAAATCTAAATAAACCTCTTTGCTTTTGCATGAACTGAAAAAGTTGAAGTCTGCACTGGTGCCTGTTGTGTGATGTGTATGTCATTTTAATTAATTATTTAGTTCATTAATTCATTCATTCATTCATTCATTTTCCTTTGGCTTAGTTTATTTATTCATCAGGAGTCACCATAGCGAAATGACTCACCAACTATTTCAGCATATGTTTTACACAGCGGATGCCCTTTCAGCTGCAAGTTCTGGGAAACACCCATACCCACTCATTCCCACACATACACTATGGCCAATTTAGTTTATTCAAGTCACCTATAGCGCATGTGTTTGGATTGTGGGGGACACGAGCACCTGGAGGAAACCCACGGCAACACAGAGAGAACATGCAAACTCCACACAAAAATGCCAACTGACCCAGCCAGGGCTTGAACCAGCAACCTTCTTGCTGTGAGTCGACAGTGCTAACCACTGAGCCACCTTGTCATCATTTTTTATTTGTGTCCTTTGAAATTGAGATAAAAATTAATTTTAGGTCAAATTTTGACCTTTAAGGTGCAAGTAATTGACATTTAAGAGAGTAAATGACAGTAATTCAATCCTAGGCTATCAAAAATTCCAGAGAATAGTTGACTACTATACTATGCTATGCTATACTATACTATACTATACAATAAAAGTATTAACATTTTAAAGCACTTTTAAAGTGCTGGTAAAGTTTACAAATGGACCTGTAAAATGCTTAAAGACTCTGACTTGAGTGATTATGAATCAATGAATTTGAATGAGTGAGTGACTGAAAAAATGAATAAATGATTAAATGAATAAACAAATGTGAGAGAGAATTAAATGGGTGAATGAATGAATGAATGAATGAATGAATGAATGTGAGTGAGTGAGTGAGTGAGTGAGTGAGTGAGTGAGTGAGTGAGTGAGTGAGTGAGTGAGTGAGTGAAATAGGTGAACGTTAGAGAAAATGAATGAATGAATGAATGAATGAATGTGAGTGAATGAAATAGATGAATGTTAGAGAGAATGAATTAATTAATTAATTAATGGGTAAATGTAAGTGAGTAAAATGGGTGAATGTCACAGAGTAAATAACTGAGTGCGTAAATTAAATGAATAAATTTAAGTGAGTAAATGAAATGGTTAAATGAATGAATGAATGAACGAACGAATGAATGAATGAATCAATGAATGAATCAATGAATGCGAGTGAGTGAAATGGGTGAATGTCAGCGAGTGAATGACTGAGTAAATGAAATGGGTGAATGTTGTGAGTGAAAGAGTGAATGAGTTAGTGAAATAATGAGTAAGTGAATGTGAGTGAGTGAATGACTGAGTAAAAGAATGAAATGGGTGAATGTTAGAGAGAATGAATGTGAGTGAGTGAATGAAATGGGTGAATGTAGGTGAGAGAGTGAATAAGTTAGTGTAATAACGAATGAGTGAATGACTGAGTAAATGAATGAATGAGAGTGAGTGAGTGAATGAAATGAGTGAATGTGCATGAGTGAGTGAAAAAGTGAATGATTTAGTGAAAAAATGAACGAGTAAATGTGAGTGAGTAAATAAATGAATGAATGAATCAAAGTGAGTGAGTGAGTGAGTAAATGACAGAGAGTGAATGAAAGTCAGTGAGTGAGTGAGGGAATGAGTTAGTAAAAGAATGAATGAGTGAATGTGAGTGACTAAACGATTTGTCAGTCGACAATCAGTTTTGCTTGAATGCTAGTGATGAACCAAATCCCATCCTGCAGCAGTATTAAATGTGTGTGTGTGTGTGTGTGTGTGTGTGTGTGTGTGTGTGTGTGTGTGTGTGTGTGTGTGTGTGTGTGTGTGTCATATAATTAATATAACCTCCATAAACCCACATGAAGTGAGTGTTCGCGTGTTCTCTTAACTAGCAGCGTGTAAATCTAATTGCGTCTGATTGGTTCGTCTCCTGTCCTCGTGTCGGAGGCCATAAATTGAGCGATTAGAGAGGCTAATTAGCGTGCTGCTTTCGCCTTGTACAGAAGTAATTCAGCAGCACGTAAAGCTGTCAGCGGCGACAGAAACACGGAGAGGAGAAGTGTGTAACGTCAGGCCGATCACACACACTGAACAGCCATGTATGACTGTCAGGAAACCAAGCAGAAAGAAAACCTGACACTACTCTGCCTTTTTTTGAGGTCTGTGTTAAGTTTCAGGTCTTAGGTTGGTTTTTGAGATTTTTTTTCTATTTTTCCAGCATTTAACCCATTGCATCTCTGCAATAAAGTGATGTCATGCCGCACTGTTTCTGTGTGAAGTCAAGAAAGAGGCTCTGTGTCACAACATAACTATAGATGTGTTAAAAAAATAATGGCAATATACAGCTCAATTCAGAATTATTAGCTCCCCTTTGATTTGTTTTCTTTTTTAAATATTTCCTAAATGATGTTTAACAGAGCAAGGAAATTTTCACAGTATGTCTGATAATATTTTTTCTTCTGGAAAAAGTCTTATTTGTTTTATTTTGGCTAGAATAAAAGCAGTTTTTAATTTTTTAAACCCAATTTTAAGGTTACTATTATTAGCCCCTTTAAGCTATTTTTTATGATTGTCTACAGAACAAACCATCGTTATACAATAACTTTCCTAATTACCCTAACTTGCCTAGTTAACCTAATTAACCTAGTTAAGCCTTTAAATGTCACTTTAGGCTATATAGAAGTGTCTTGAAAAATATCTAGTCAAATATTATTTACTGTCATCATGACAAAGATAAAATAAATCAGTTATTAGAGATGAATTATTAAAACTATTATGTTTAGAAATGTGTTGAAAACATCTACTCTCTGTTATACAGGCCTAATAATTCTGACTTCAACTATATATATATATATATATATATATATATATATATATATATATATCCAACAGTTCTGTCTGGTTCTTGAATCTGATTGGCTGATAGCTGTGATATATTTAAGTAATATCAAGCACCCGTACAGCCTCTCTACCCTTTGTTTATTACTCCGCCCACATACAGCCAGCAAAAAGCAGACACGACAGATCTAAAGTTTAAAAGATGCTTGCTCAGCTGTATAACTGTCAGCTTATGATTTGAATCCGACGCGGAAGAAAGTAGTACCTCATACAAAAGGGTTTTTGAGACTCTCCATGTTTTGATTTTGTTTTTTTGATTTTGTTTTTATTTTGTTTTTTTATGCCGTCAAACTGTTGTATAAATGCAATATCACACTCGTAGCAGTGCGATATGGCTGTATATCGGCACTGGTGGGGGCACTGAGGCACTCGGCCTGCAGCCTCATGCCAACGCTCGCCTCCCACCAGTGCCAATATATAGCCATATCGCACTGCTACTCATGTGATATTGCTCTTATATATATTCGAGTCCTGATTCTGAGGTACCATCCGATTCCGATAGAGTCTAAAACCGTGTGATTTTTGAAATCCGCTTGTTAAGTAGTGACGTTTTTGTGACGTATGTAATACTGTTTCCGGGTCCAAGCCGCCACTCATTTGAGTGGAGAAATCATTTGTTTATGATCACGTTTTATTCATATCACACTATAAAGTTAATTTTATATAAAATCATAGTGTACACAACAATCTCTGGGTTTCCTGCATAGCAAATACCAAAAATTTAACAATTTATAAAAAAATTATCACTTTCTGGCCATCGGATATTAGGCATGGACATATTTACTGCAATCGTGATTTTCGACAGCATTAAATCGCTTTGTAAACGTTTATTATTACCATTTCATGAGTATCCCCATTTAGTTGAATAGAGCGCTTGGACTCGGAAGCCGCTTCGCGTGACATCACACTTAACAAGCGGATCACGTGATTGGATCTGGACATCCCTACTAAATTTGCATATTGTTTTACATTTACTTTAGACGATACATTACATAGACTATTTAAAAAAAATACATTGATTGACTCTGTTACTAATGTATTATTTATATAATAAATGTATTTAAAATTACAGTTTTATTCAGTAATTTTAATATTTAGATGGTTGCCATTATTTTAAAAAATGTTTTGAAAGAAATGTAAATAACTCATTTAAATGGATAATTTAATGCATCATTTAAATACATACCAGTATATAAGTCATGCTTAATTTGTATTATGATTGAGTTCAATTATGCCAATTCGAAATCTGACATTTGTATTTTTTGAACTAATATATTAAAAACTGGGGTCACACGATGGCTCAGTGGTCAGCACTGTCGCCTCACAGCAAGAAGGTCGCTGGTTCGCTGGTTCGAGTCCTGGCTGGGTCAGTTGGCATTTCTGTGTGGAGTTTCCGTGTTGGTGTGGGTTTCCTCCGGGTTTTCCCCACAGCCCAAACACATGCGCTATAGGTGAATTGAATAAACTAAATTGGCCATAATGTATGAGTGTGTATGGGTGTTTCTCCAGTACTGGGTTGCAGCTCAAAGGGCATTCGCTGTGTAAACCATATGTTTGATAAGTTGGCCGTTCATTATGCTGTGGTGACCCCTGATAAATAAAGGGACTAAGGCGAAGGAAAATGAATGAATGAATGAATATTGAAAAATTATTTGAGAACTTTTCTATGGGTTCATAGCAAAATTAAAAATCTGAGATGTATTCTGGCTTCCTTAAGAGCCCGTGGCAGTTTTATAGTGACTACTTTCAGTTAGTAAAACATTTCTTCATGTGCAATATTAAAAAATAACTAAATAAATAAAACGAGAGCACTTTCAAAAATAGAATGAATGTATAAGCACTAAACTATGATCACCTTGTGTGTGTGTGTGTGTGTTTTCAGGGCACGCTACAGCAGTTCGTGGATGATTTCTTCCACAGTGTTCTCTGCTCCGGCGCTGCCGTCCCGCCGGCTGTGAAATATTTTTTCGACTTCCTAGATGAGCAAGCGCTGCGACACGAGAATGTAGACGAGGAAACCATCCACATCTGGAAGACCAACAGGTGTGTGTCAGTGTGTGTGTGTGTTTGTGTGTGTTGCTGCTCTGCTCTCTGGCTGTCGCTGCTCTCCAGAGACGCCTCGGCATATGCTAATGTCAGCGGCGCATTCATTTATTCCGCCTGATGTGTGTGTGTGATTGACAGCTGCCGCCGAGATGTGAATAAATGCGACGAGCAACATCATCACTCCAGCAGCTTCTATTAAATATAAACCCGCTCGCAGCCAAACAAACACCTTAATTATGTCCCTGGTTAATTTAATTGTTCTGTTATTATACACCTTTTGTTTTGTTTTTTCAGCGCTGTTCTCCGCAGAGATTCCACCAGCCAATATATATTCCAGAGCCAGTCATGTGAATGAGGTTTTTTTTTAAACCGGCTCAGCGGAAACAAAAGCCGGAGCTGTTTAATAACCTGTTTGAAATTCCGCCGCCGTCTGTCCGTGTTCATGCTCTGCCAGCGCGAGTATTGAGTGAATTATTTGCTCTGTACTGACTTTATGCTCCAGTTGCAGGAAAGACTCGCTATCGAACGGATTAAATGCATAATTAGCAGTTTTTGCTTAGAAGAGCATCAGCATCGTTCATCCTGAGGGTTAGAGATTTAAAACAAGCCCCTGATTGTCATTATTAAACTATGGAACATTATTCGTCCCGCACCGCTGGATGCGCATGATTCCTCAAGATGTATGAATTTCACTGAGAGATCTGAGCCATAGCAACCACCCACATCTTGATAGCAACACACTAAACACTGTTTGCACCTTAGCAACCACTTAGCGGCAACAAAACTGTAACACACAAAAACAACACTCTAAACAACTTAGCAATCAACTGGTACCTTAGCAACCAACTACTTTATCATCAACTCAAAACTTACTAGCAACAGCATAGCAACATATAAAAACAACACCCTGAACACCTTAGCAAGCAACTATACCTTATAAAGGAATCAGAACTTCCTAGGAACAGCATAGCAACATACAAAAACAACACTCTGAACACCTTAGCAACCAACAAATACCTTGACAACCAACTCGTGACCTATCAATGTCTCATAACTTCCTAGGAACAGAATAGGAACTCACAAAAACAACACACTAAACACCTTGGTAACCAACCAGTGACTCAGAACTCCCTAGCAACAGCCTGGCAACACACTAAACAACAATATGATCACCTTAGCAACCAAAGATTTAAGGAATATCAGCAACAAAATAATAACTCACAAAAACAACACTAAAAATTTTTGCAACCAACTACTTTATCAATGACTCGGTACTCACTAGCAACAGCATAGCAACGCGCAAAAACAACACTCTGAACACCTTAGCAACCAACAAATACCTTGACAACCAACTCGTGACCTATCAATGTCTCATAACTTCCTAGGAACAGAATAGGAACTCACAAAAACAACACACTAAACACCTTGGTAACCAACCAGTGACTCAGAACTCCCAAGCAACAGCCTGGCAACACACTAAACAACAATATAATCACCTTAGCAACCAAAGATTTAAGGAATATCAGCAACAAAATAATAACTCACAAAAACAACACTAAAACTTTTAGCAACCAACTACTTTATCAACGACTCGGTACTCACTAGCAACAGCACAGCAACGCACAAAAACAACACTCTGAACACCTTAGTAACCAACTGGTACTTTAGCAACCAACTAGTTACTTTATCAATGACTCAGAACTTACTAGCAACAGCATAGCAACACACAAAAACAAAACTCTGAACACCTTAGTAACCAACTGGTACCTTAGCAACCAACTAGTAACTTATCAATGACTCAGAACTCCTTAGGAACAGTACAGCAACACACAAAATCAACTGATCACCTTAGCAACCAACTAGCACCTTAGTAACCTTCTGCTTTATCAAAGACCCAAAACTCACTAGCAACGGCATAGCATCACTCAAAAACAACACTCTGAACACCTTAGCAACTAACTGGTACCTTATAAATCACTCAGAACTCCCTGGAAACATTATATCAACACACAAAAACAACACTCTGAATATCTTAGCAACCAACTGGTACCTTAATTACCAACTGCTTTATCAACAACTCAAAACTTACTAGCAACAGCATAGCAACATACAAAAAACACTCTGAACACCTTAGCAACCAACTAGTAGCTTATAAAGGACTCAGAACTCCCTAGGAACAGCATAGCAACACACAAAAACAACACTCTGAACACCTTAGCAACCAACTGGCACCTTAACAACCAACTAGTACCTTATAAAGGACTCAAAACTCACTAGCAACAGCATAGCAACATACAAAAACAACACTCTGAACACCTTAGCAACCAATTAGAACCTTATAAATGACTCAGAACTCACTAAAAAAACAGTGTAACAACACACAAAATAACACTCTGAACATCTTAGCAACCAATTGGTACCCTAGCAACCAAATAGTAGCTTATCAATGACTCAGAACTTACTTGCAACAACAAACACAGCACTCTGAACACCTTAGTAACCAACTACTTTATCAAAGACTCAAAACTCACTAACAACAGCATAGCAAGACACAAAATAACACTCTAAACACCTTAGCAACCAACTGGCTTCTTAGCAACCACCTAGTACCTTAAAAAGGACTCAAAACTCACTAGCAACAGCAAAGCAACACACAAAAACAACACTCAGAACATCTTAGCAACCAACTGGTACCTTAGTAACCAACTACTTTATCACTGACCCAAAACTCACTACCAACAGCATAGCAACATACAAAAACAACACTCTGAACACCTTAGCAACCAATTAGAACCTTATAAATGACTCAGAACTCACTAAAAAAACAGTGTAACAACACACAAAATAACACTCTGAACATCTTAGCAACCAATTGGTACCCTAGCAACCAAATAGTAGCTTATCAATGACTCAGAACTTACTTGCAACAACAAACACAGCACTCTGAACACCTTAGTAACCAACTACTTTATCAAAGACTCAAAACTCACTAACAACAGCATAGCAAGACACAAAATAACACTCCGGACAACATAGCAACCAACTGGTACCTTAGCAACCAACTAGTACCTGCACCTAGTACCTATGTACATATATTCATTTATTTTAAATCTCTGTTCATAGCTAATACAACCTGTATATAATGTTCATAGTTCATCCAGCTGTAAATATCACCATAGTTTTTCTATAACTGCACTTTATAACTTATACGTATATCCTGCACTTGCTGCTATTGCACTGCTGGTTAGACCTAAACTGCATTTCGTTGCATTGTACTTGTACATGTGTAATGACAATAAAGTTGAATCTAATCTAAACTCGAAACTCACTAGCAACAGCATAGCAACACACAAAAACAACACTCTGAACACTGTATTAACCAAAAAATACCTTATAAAGGACTCAGAACTCACTACAACAGCCAAGGAGGGGTGGGATGGCGGGGTGAGGCGTGGAAGTAAGTGAAGAGGGGGGCGAGACGTGAGGCATGGACAAAAATGAAGAGGGGGGCGGGGCAGGGGGACAAAAGTGAAGAGTGGGGGGGAGGGGGTTGTCTCAGATGAAAGTGAAGGTTTGTGCCCCTAATATCATCTCTGGGGCCCCAGAACTGCCTGGGCCCTTAGAATCGTCCTAACTTCTCCCCCTAGTGGCGCCCTTGTGATCTTGATCAATTTTGTAGTAAATCCCTAAAAAGACTGAAAGATTCCTCCAGAAGCAAAGCTGCTGAGATGTGAAGCCAAATCATATATTTGGTCAAAAACAAAACAACCTTGAATAACTGAAGTGTTTCTCACGTCTTCTCTAATACTGATCCGCAGTTTGCCGCTGCGCTTCTGGGTGAACATCCTGAAGAACCCTCACTTCATTTTTGATGTGCACGTGACCGAGGTCGTGGACGCCTCTTTGTCCGTGATAGCTCAGACCTTCATGGACGCCTGCACCAAAACAGAGCACAAACTGAGTCGGGTGAGTGTCTGCGAATGAGCCACAGACAAATAAAGACGAGAAATGAATCATTAATGGACTCGCTGTCTGTCTCTGTTGCCTCCAGGATTCTCCCAGCAACAAATTACTCTATGCAAAGGAGATCTCTACCTACAAAAGGAACGTAGACGAGTAAGTGTCTCAGCCTCCAGCCGAACGCCCACAGATGCTTTACAAGACTGTCTGATACGTGTTGTGCTCAAAAAAAAACTTTCTCGGTGTGATTTGATTGACTGGGTTTATGCAATATTTGAGTCAGCGTGTAAGTCTACTGGGAGACAAAGTCGTGTTTATGCTCCCAGGTGGCTACAATGAGGAATCCTGAGGTAGAGCTAGGCTAAAATAGCAACATATTCATTATTCATGATAATTAACTTATGTAAATAGGAAAACAATTGTATCTCCTGCTTTGTTTTTTGAGGAATATGCAATGCACCTTCCCCAAAAGTTAATAGAAAGTAAGGTTAAGACAGTCCTAATCCTCAATAATACTGCAACATAGAAAGAAAGCATGAATTAGCATGTTTTAAAATGCATAAATTAGCTGTTGTTAGCATTGTCGTCAAATTGTTAGCAAAAGCATGCATGTTAATAGCATGTTTCTAACCCTTGATATTGTTACTATGTTGATAGCATGTTTGTGACACTTAACTTTAAAAATTAGCATGCTAATATTAACGTTACTACACTGATTTAGCACATAGTTAAAAATGTTTTAGCACATATTAACATGATGCTACCATGTTCAACATTTCGCTAGTTTGAATTAGTATGGTGCTTGCATGTTTCTAACATGTATAAACAAGCTGCAGGCATAAATGAGCATGTTACTAGCACAGTCAACATGTTATTTGCACAAAATCAGTCAGAAAATTGTTAACAAAACATGCATGTTATTAGCATGTTTTCAACACTTGATATTGTTACAATAAATTAGGATGTTGATAACCTGTTTCTGACACTTAACATGTTATGAATTGGCATACTGATATTAGCATGTTATGAATAATACACTCATTTAACTTAGCTAAAATGTTTAAGCATATATTGACATGTTGCTACCATGTTTAACATTTTGCTAGTTTGATTTAGTATGTTGCTAGCATGTTTCTAACATGTATTGGCAAGCTGCAGGCATGAATGAGCATGTTGCTAGCATGCTTGCTAAAACCAGCATGCTAAAACCAGCTTGACCAGCCTAGCCAGGCTGGGAGCCCAGCCAAAACCAGCTATAACCAGGCTGCCCAAGCTGGCTTTATCTGGATTTAGCTGGTCATTTTCCAGACTGACCAGCTAAGACCAGGCTGGAAATAGTTGGAAACCAGCCTGAATATGGCCAAAACCCCTCTAAAACCAGGCTGGTCAACCAGCTAAAACCAGCCAACCAGCCTAGGCTGGTTTAAGCTGGATTTTTCAGCAGGGTTGTTATTATGTTTGGCAGTTGTTAGCAAAAACATGCATGCTAATAGCATGTTTTTAACACTTGGATTTGTTACCATGAATTAGAACATTAAGAACATGTTTCTGACACTTAACGTTATGAATTAGCATACTGATATCAGCATGTTATAATTAATACACTGATTTAACACATAGCTAAAATGGTTTAGCATGTATTGACATGTTGCTACCATGTTTAACATTTTGCTAGTTTGAATTAGTATGTTGCTAGCATATTTCTAACATGTATTAGCAAGTTGCAGTCATGAATGAGCATGTTGCTAGCATGGTCAGAATGTTATAACAAGTATAAATTAGCATGTTGTTACCATGGTTGTCAAATCTGTAAACAAAATATGCATGTTAATAGCATGTTTTTAACACTTGGATTTGTTACCATGAATTAGCATGTTGATAACATGTTTGTGACACTTAACATTTTATGAATTAACAAACAGATATTAGCATGTTTTGAATAATACATTGATTTACCGCATAGCTAAAATGTTTTGGCATGTATTCACATCTTGCTACCATGTTTAACATTTTACCACTTTGAATTATTATGTTGCTAGCATGTTTCCTACATGAATTACCAAGCTGCAGTCTTGAATGAGCATGCTGTTGGCACTGGCAGCATGTTATAACAAACATGTTGCTAGCATAGTTGTTTAATCTGTTAACAAAACATGCATATTGATAGCATGTTTCTAACACTTAGAATTATTACCATGAATTAGCATGTTTATGACATGTTTCTGACACTTAACACGTATGCTTTAGCATATATCTACATGATGCTAATTTTTATTTGTTTGAATTAGTATGTTGCTTTTATATATCTAATATGTATTAGCAAGCTGCAGACAGGAATTAGCATACTGCTAGAATGGTCAGCACATTGCTAGCATGAATTAACAATTTGTTGACATGTTTCTGACACTTAACATGTTAACATGAATTAGCATGTTGATAGTATGTTAACATTTTTAGCTAGAATGTTTTAGCGTGTTTTAACATGTTGCTAAATTTAGGTGTTTAGTCTATGTTGCTTACATGTTTTGAAAATGTATTAGCACATCGCTGCCATGTTATAGCAAATTGTAAGAATGAGTTAATGTTGTTAGCAAGGTTTAGGCATTGACAATACACTGCTATCAAAAATTAACATGTTGGAAAAGTTTTATCATATGGCTAACATGTTTAGCACGTTGCTATCGTGTTTTACATTTTGCTAACTTGAAGTCTAAATTTGCCTACACATTAAACACAGTTTTAGCAAACATGAATTTGCATGTTTCTTGCATGTTTTTAGCTTATTAGCAATAGTTAGCATGGTATAGCATGGTTTTACACTCGATGCAGGTTAAACACTAGATTTGATCATTTAGGAATGAGAATAGAATATCAGATATTTAATGTTTAAGTTTAAGAAGGGGTTTAGCCAGAATATTTAGCAGTTTGGATCAATGGTCTGTTTTTTCTCCACAGATACTATAAAGGAATCCGACAGATGGTGTCAGTCAGTGACCAGGAAATGAACACACATCTTGCTGAAGTGTCACGGGTGAGTGTGTATTTTAGCGTTTTTTTTTTAAGTAAAATGGAGAGTGTGGTGTTGATTTATTCTTGTTTTTTAGGAACACACTGATAAACTGAACACACAAGTGGCCCTTCACCAGCTCTACCGGTACGCCAGTAAATATTACGATGGGGTGAGTGTTCGCACACACACATATACACAGAGTTAATTGACATGAACAAGTGACAGCACTGACATATTTCATTTCAAACTATTTTAACAGCATATCCGAGCTCTTGTATAATTAATATGCATGTCGTTTTTATTAATTGAAAGACGATATGGAATAATTGTTACAGTTCAAAATTAATTTACCGCGCAGCAGGACCATTGAAATAAACAGATAAGAGAAATTATTGAAAACGGTGGGGGCCGGGTGGGAGGCATCAAATAAGTTATGACATGGTCATCATAAACACTTTGATTTGATTTATATTTCATCATTAAATCAATGAAAATGTTAACATGGATGGAAAGATGCATGGATGGATAGAAGGTTGGATGGATGGATGGATGGATGGATGGATGGATGGATGGATGGATGGATGGATGGATGGATGGACAAATGGACAGATGGATGGATAGGCAGATAGATTGATTGAAGGTTGGATGGATGGATGGATGGATGGATGGATGGATGGAATAATGCAAAATTAGGTAAATAGATAGATTGATGGATAAATGAATTAATTAATAGATAAATGGATAAATGATTAAATGAATAATCAGATTGATGGATGGATGGATGGATGGATGGATGGATGGATGAATGGATGAACAGAAAGATGGATGGTTGGTGAACAGATAAATTGATGGATAGATTAATGGATGGATGGATAAAAGGATGGATGGATGGATGGATGGATGGATGGATGGATGGATGGATGGATGGATGGATTGATGAATAGTTGGTGGATAGATAGATGGAAAGATGGATGGATGGATGGATGGATGGATGGATGGATGGATGGATGGACGACCAGAAAGATGGATGGTTGGTGAACAGATAAATTGATGGATAGATTAATAGATGGATGGATAAAAGGATGGATGGATGGATGGATGGATGGATGGATGGATTGATCAATAGTTGGTGGATAGATAGATGGAGAGATGGATGGATAGATGGATGGATGGATGGATGGATGGATGGATGGATGGATGGATGGATGGATGGATGGATGGATAGATGGATGGTTGGTACATAGATAGATGGATGGTTGGTGAATAGATAGATGGATAAATTAATGGATGGATGGATGGATTAATTGGTTGATGGATTGACATTGATGGATGGTTGGTGAATAGATAGATGGATAGGTTGATGGATGGATGGATGGATGGATGGATGGATGGATGGATAATTGGATGGATGGGTGGATGGGTGGGTGGGTGGATGGATGGATAGGTGGGTGGGTGGTTGTATGGATGAATAAATGAATGGATGGATGGATAAATGGATAATGGAATTGCTAGATGGATAACCAGATAAATGGATGGTCAGATAGATAGATTGTTGGATGGATAGATGGATAAATGGATAATGGAACAGATAGATTGATTGATGGATAGATGGATGAATGAATGGATAATTGGATAATTTGGCTGCTGGTGTTTGTTGTCTCTGCAGATCATCATGTCTCTGGATGAAGATCCCACCGCTCAGAGTAAACAGTTAACCCTGAGACTGCAGCAGATCGCAGCGGCGCTGGAGAACAAAGTGACCGACCTCTAACCCCGTCACACACAACACTCAGTGTGTATTTAGCTCATCACTATAATCAGATGTTCAATTTCTTCCTGTGTAGAGGCGAAAGGTTTTAAGAGTCGTATTCTCTATTTTTTTTAATGTGCAGTCTTTATGCAGAAAGCTTTATAAGAGGAAAATAACTTTTTAAATAGACGGCCTTGTGTCAGTTGTTTTTAAAGCTTCTCTGTGAGTGTGTGAGTGCGTAAGAGTCTGAGTGTGTGTAAATCAATGCCTATATTTTGACCAAAAGGGAGCTGCCCGTGACCCTGCAGTGTTTGTGTGCCTATGGTGAGGTCATAGCTGGTTTCGTCCAATCAAAAGCAGCCGAAGGTGACAGTAGGAAATGCATGGGATGTGTTCGGATAGCATACTAGCATATTCTTCATATTGCTTCTGTGCACTGTATGTGTACAGTGTGTGCAAATTGCCGGACAAAATATGCAGCATTAAGGTGTTTGGTGAACTTCTGCAGGTGAATTAAACATATTCACACAAAGGCAAATTTTGTGCAAGGGGGAAAGATGTCCCCACACAGATTTTGCAACTGACTCAAGTTAGTCAGGTTTGCTACTGTTTGTTTACCAACCCCAAAAAAATACCTTGGTTTAAATTTTCCATGCACATCCTTTTTACTATGGACCTTTTTAGCATCAAAATATTGACGACACATATTTAAATGGTCCTTTAAAACTCATTTAACTGCCAAAGTTGAGTCATTTCTATACAAAATTTGTAAGATATTATATATAAGTATTATTCAAACATTTCATACTTACATGCCATAAATACAGTGTAGTATGGAGTATGCTAGTATGTAATAGAGTGCAACAGTGCCGCTCCAGAAGTAAAAACGCATTATTTCCTCCATCAAGAAAACGATAAGTAATAAAAGACTGACCAGTTGTAAGTTCTAATGTCTCAGCTTGATTGCAGTTATTCAATTTATTTGAAAATCAATCATGTTTAATATCCAAACTTCATATAAACTACATTACCCATGATGCTTTACAGACTCTCCACCAATCAGAAAGGCGCAGCAAGCGAAATGCACCAAAAGAGATCTTTAGATCCGTCCACTTTGTTAAAGCACTACAAAGGATGTTAGTTTGTCTCCCTACATTTAAATATTTGTAAATATATGCATATTTTGCAATAAACATCAAATGTGTTTTTTTGTAGATGCAACCAACAGCTTTAAAGGAGTAGATTCGTACTTCATTGCTTCAAATCAAAGTTTGTAGTGTTGTGATTCTCCACGTAGCCGGTGGGTTTGGTTCATGAGCTACAACGCATTAACAATGACTTCTTTTAATCCATTTGAATTGGAAAATACTTCTGGAACCAGAGCTGGTCAAAAAAGTGAGTGGGCACTAATGCACTCCATTCCGAACATATCAGTTAAAATGGTCAAATGACCATCATTTCATAACCAGTTTTCTGTATTTTGTGTTGACTTTTTTTTTTATTTATTCTTTTGTATTGCATTATGGGACCTTGATCTTTCCTCCAACAACGTTTGATGTTCGAAATGTTCTAATGCTGAAAAATTGACTTTTGTTATTGATATTTTTAATAGTTTGAAGTGAGATATTGTCTGGGTTGGCGCTGTAAATCACGGTACAAAAACCTGGTAATAAACTTTAATTTCTAATTAATAATTAGTATTATTTAATTTCTAAGGCCATGTCCACGAAAACACAAGTATTTTTATAAAGTTTTTTCTGCTTTCGTTATTAAAAAAGTCTCCGTCTACATAACAATACTGTAATGCACGAACCAACCGGTGGAGATAATGACATTTGTATGCTGGGTACATACCAAATGCGAAATGAAGTGTTTTCGTGAGTAAATAGCAAACAAATCAATGCAAACGTGAGAACAGAGGCGGATCACCTGAAGTGCAAACAATGCAGAATATGTGATATGTTTGCCACAAACGAGCAGAATTTGCCGCATTCGTGTTTTCCGCATTTGGTGTAAACTTAGCAGTGTTGGCCGGATGGATGGATGGATGGGTGGATGGATGGATAATAGAGATATTTGGATAGATAGATAGATAGATAGATAGATAGATAGATAGATAGATAGATAGATAGATAGATAGATAGATAGATAGATAGATAGATAGATAGATAGATAGAGGGACGGATGGAGGGACGGACGGATGAATGGATAAATGGATAGATTATTAATAAATAGATGGATTGATGGACGGACTGACTGACGGATAGATAGATAGATAGATAGATAGATAGATAGATAGATAGATAGATAGATAGATAGATAGATAGATAGATAGATAGATAGATAGATAGATAGATAGATAGATAGATAGATAGATAGATAGATAGATAGATAGATAGATAGATAGATAGATAGATAGATAGATAGATAGATAGATAGATAGATAGATAGATAGATAGATAGATAGATAGATAGATAGATGGACGGACGGAGGGAGGGAGGGAGGGACCGACGGACAGAAGGATGGATGGACAGCGGACAGACAGACAGACGGACGGACGGATGGATGGATGGATGGATGGATGGATGGATGGATGGATGGATGGATGGATGGATAGATTGATAGATAGATAGATAGATGGATGGATAGAGATAGATAGATAGATAGATAGATAGATAGATAGATAGATAGATAGATAGATAGATAGATAGATAGATAGATTATTAATAAATACGTGGATGGATGGATGAATGGATGGATGGACGGACGGACGGACGGACGGATGGAAAAATAGATAGATAGATAGATAGATAGATAGATAGATAGATAGACAGACAGACAGACAGACAGACAGACAGACAGACAGACAGACAGACGGACGGACGGACGGGCGCATGGATGGATGGATGGATGGATGGATGGATGGATGGATGGATAGATTGATAGATTATTAATAAATACATGGATGGATGGATGGATGGATGGATGGATGGATGGATGGATGGATGGATGGATGGATGGATGGATGGATGGACGGACGGATGGATAAATAGATAGATGGATGGTAGATAGATAGATAGATAGATAGATAGATAGATAGACAGACAGACAGACAGACAGACAGACAGACAGACAGACAGACAGACAGACAGACAGACAGACAGATAGACAGATAGATAGATAGATAGATAGATAGTCAGGACCCGAAGTTTCAGTTTCAGTCACGCAACACTCCGTTTTCATGTGGACAAACAGCGTAACTGCTAGAATTTACTTGCGGTTTTAAAAATACCCATGTTGTTGTGGACAGCGGCTAATACAATATTGTTTCAAACTACTAAAATGTTCATAGTCACTTTGTTAAACCACATAATTGAATTTTAAACATCAAAATTCGACAAACCAGAGGAAAAAAATTCCCATAATTTCCTTTATAAACGTAAATAAACAGGAAAAAAAACACAAAATACAGAAACGATCAATTAACGGATATTGTTTTACAGTGTGCATCATTTCATCCATACTGGCTCACTTTCAGATAATCAACACACACACAGGCAATAATAAGGCATTTCATTCTGACGTATGATGGTACCCGTGAAAAGTCTTTTAATTTCAGAACGTCGTTTCATTGTGAGAGCTTCGCCATAATGACTGAATTTATTATATATGGCACAAATGGTTAATGTTCGGGACAGATTTCTGGCAGCGGCTGATATTAATGACTCTATGCAAGAATGCACATGTAGATGCTTTAACTGGATTTCAGATGGACTCTCAGATGGTTTTGGTGCGTAAAACGCAGAGAGGATTGACTGCAAACTTCTCGCTTGGGCTCTGTTGGAAGGGTCTACATGTGTGATCTGGAACGTCATTCGCTTTATTTTGGCAGAGATGGTAATGACAGACTAATTTGTTTGTTATTTGCCACCAAACAAGATGGTACTATAGAGCTCAGCCAAAACTCTGCCCTGAGAGATGCTTTTGTTTTGTTTTGTTTTTTTTATAGCCGTGTGACGTTTGCGAAGCTTTTTATGTTGAGTTGCAAGGTTATTTTAATCGATTGTTTAATTTATGAGAATAATTATAGAGAGCATTTTTGACAAAAAGGAGAAGTTATTGATATTGTCTAGCTTGTTTGAGCTTAAAAAGAAAAGGTAGATGCGTATTTACTATTGTTTAAAAATTTGGGGTTGGAACATTTTTGTTTTGCGTTTTTGAAGATGATTTTTATGCTCACCAAGGCTGAATTTATATTATTAATAATACAATAAATGTTTTAAATGTTGTTAATATTATTTTTTTTTAATATCTGTATTATGTTTTAATACATTTTAAAATATAATTCAATCCTAGTTTTCAGTTATCCTTTGGAAATTATTTGAATTATTTGCTGTTCAATAACATTATTCATAAATTTGCAGAAATTGCTTGTTATTATTTCTCTCTATTCATTTTTTAGGAACTTTTAACATGTACTGACAAAATGATGTAACATGTAACAAACAAAATGATAAAAAATAAGTAATAATAATAAAAATTACAATTATTATTAGTATATTTGAGCAATAACTCGTAGCAGTGGGATATGGCTGTGCGTTGGCTCAAGGCCACAGGCCAAGTGCCTTAGTGTCCCACCAGTGACGATACACAGCCATATCGTACAGCTACAAGTGTGACATTGCGTTTATACAACAGTTCAGCGGCATAATTGTGTGTATGAAAAGAAAATCAAACACGGAGATTTCCCTTTTGTAAGAGGAACTACTTTTGCTCATTTATCAACGTCACTTTAGAGCTAGTATTTGAATGATTCTGTAGCGTAATGTCTAAAGTGTAGACAAAACAGGTGATTTTGCTCACATTTTAAGATTATATGGTTGAACGGCAGTAAATGTCATCAGTCTACAGAGATTTCCCAGTATTTCTCTGTTGTAATCGGAAGATCATAATAATTAACCCCAAAAAAGCCAAAGCAAACACTAGCAAATTACTATGGTATAAATACAGCACTACAAAATACAAGAGAGAGAGATCGACATAGACTGTCAGTTACCTGATTAATAATGATTTGATCAGCTGTAGTTTGAAATTTATGCTGAATTATTCTCCCCCAATGCTGCTTTCACACTAGATGTGTAAGGAGCGTCGATCGCAAGTGATTTACATGTATTACAAGAGTTAAGCGT